TTACAGTAAAAACTTGCCTTTCCTCATGTTCACCGCTGCCTCTGTTTCCCTGGGAGAGATATATTGGATTTTCGCCTTCAAATGAAAGGGCCACGGAAAAATTCAAGTTTAATTCAATGTAAGTATGTTGTATGTATTATAAAAAAAGTTAATTTTATGAGTAGGTATTCGTAAAGAGACTGATGTTGTTACCGCTTTCGAATGTTAATGGTTGAACAAGTTAATGAGACGTATGAAAGAAGCATACCCATCATTTTAAAAGTGATTTAATGTAAAGACAATTTGTATAATGTTACCAATTTTGCTTACATCATGTTTTATAAGTACATATTGGTGTCAATTCTGACATGATTCTCTAAACCTAAAATTAAATTTGACAACAGTGCATCCTTGTCATTCTCTATACAGAATGAAAAGGAGAGATTGATGTTAAATTTAGTTTTAAGTTTAGAGAATCACACCAGAATCGACACCATTGTTGTCGATTCTGGAGGCCTACTCTAATTAAACGAAATTTCGATCGGAACTTCGCACTTTTCTTACTATATTTCTGGTTCGTTTTTAATTATAATAATATTCATCGTCGGAATATAGATTGAAGTGTAGATTTTCTAAGTCTACTCAAAGAAAGCTTCAAGTTTATCGTTCAAATTAAGTATAACCTTAAATTGGAGTAATTAAATTTCGTTTGAACTTCGTTATTGGAAGTTCGTTTCGGAGAAGGAGAGGAGACCCCTTGGAATGACTTTCTGAATTTAAAACTAAATTTATCATCAGCTTCTGTTCATTCTGTATAAATAATAACAAGAGTACACTTTTGTCAAATTTAAGTCAAGGTTTAGAGAATTATGCCAGAGTTGACACCATTTTTATGTTTTATGTGATAGGTTTACAAAGGTGTGACAGTAACTTATACGTGTTAGTGTCGCCGCACACGGGCCACCGAGCACAACCACAAAACGCCGCCACCGGCATATTTCTTGTAGTTTTCATACATTATATATGGAATCACCACACACGGTACGCCGGTGGCCGCCACACGCTACAAACCGTCGTTGCTCGCATCTTGTGGCCCGCACCGGCCACTTAATGCGCCGATACAAAACGCCGCCACACGCCACTCGCGCGATTCCCCACCCCTCTCTCCCTTGCCTTAGTCGGCCGCTGTCGCGCGCTTCAGCCACTTTAGTAGCCGCTTCTAGCTTCTCGTGGCGGCGTTTGTGGCTGTGGCGTGTGGCCCGTGTGCGGCGACACTTAGTTTAAATTTCACTTCCATGGTCAACCCTTAACCTTAAGGCCTATACATCAGTTTTTAGTACATTATGAGTGAGAACGCCTCAGTACGTCATTATTATTTAATAGAAGTATGACAACATACTAATAAAGTACTGATTACCTTTGCGGAGCTCGATGGCGCAGGTGGTTAGCGCGTTCGGCTGCGATCGCCGAAGTTAAGCAAATCTCGCAGTCTCGGTCTGTTATTGGTTGGGTGACCAAAAATCTTCTATCTTGAGTTCCTCCGTGCTTCTGAAGGCACGTTAAGCCGTTGGTCCCGGCTGCATTTGCAGTCGTGGGCACCCGCCAATCCGCACTGGGCCCGCTTGGTGGGTCGGTCCAATCTCCCTATTCCATCCTTTGGGAAGGCATGTGCCCTAGCAGTGGGGACAATAGTAGACTGATAATGATAATGATGATAACAAAAATTCGCAATAATGCATTCAATATTATCGACCGATAATAACGCGTCTATGGGTGGGAGCTTTTTTATTTTTTTTTATTATTTTTTTTTTGGGTGGGAGGTTTAACGGTCGACGACGGTGATTTTTGCATGTTTTTCGGTTTTTATGTTCATAGTTTTACTATATGCGAGAAGCTAAATGCTTGCCTTATTTATATTTATATGTAGGTTTACTGATATACTCACGTTTGAAATGTATTTGAATACGGGTATAGATGCACTGATTGAAAGGAGAGTTAGTAGCAACTTTGGTTATTTATGAAAGCTACGAACTCTACTTAAGTAACCAAACAAGGGCGACAATGTGAAAACTTACGCCGTCTTATCTTTTTTGCGAGTGTGTATGCTGTTGGTCGCAGATTACCTTTACAGCGTCCCCGGGCTTAGGGACGACGAGATCCTACTGGGACCTCAAGCCGAGAATAGGGGTGATGACGGGGTACAGTAAACAAAATTCTATAGTCAGTCAGTTAGATGATCAAAAAATAATGGACACGTATTTTTTGTTTGGGCAATCAACCAAAAAATGACAAAGTTATAGCGCGTCAAAGTTTGGGAGTAGGGACTCGTGACGTCACTTTTTAGTGAATTTTCACTTAAAAGTGTACTCAAACGTGACATCATGCGACTTTTCAAATCAATATATCTCTGCAATGTTTATATTATGTGAAAAAAAAAATACGTGTCCAATACTTTTTGATAATCTACCTGATATCCGAAGAAAAAAAAAATAGTCATCATCCCTATTGCTTTATTTTTTAGTATAGTTTAAGTTTCTTGAATATGCAATGGTTATTTATGATATTGGTGTGGTGAATTGGTTGTTACAGGCGAATAAACGAATGTATGGAATATATTAAATATCCTTTAATTATAGTGCCAGTGTAATACTTTTTATATATATGTATATCCGTGTTTTTGTTCATGTTGAGTTTGCGCGTAATTGTTTTTGCACTATGCTGAAAATTGTTACATATAAGTGTGATTATGTAAGTTAAGGTGTAAAAATGTTGGCAGACCTGTAATAAATAAATAAATTGGCAAGTGCCTCTAGAGGTATTCCAGGCGGGTGGCATCTCCCCACACCTCGAACCAGACGGACCCCCGTCTTATCGTGTCGCAGTCTCAGCCTGCCGGGAAAAGTTGTTAGGAAGACTCTTTGAGTAACTCTGTCCTCACCGCGATATGATACCTGTATAGCTCGTTTTTTTTATTATGGAATTTGACATTAGACGCGATCAAAAACATGTTATAATATAAACAATTTACATTAATTTTAATTTAACAATTTAATTTGGGGTCCTAGCGCTTTAAGGCTATTTAAGGAAATAGCAAAAAGGTTAGTCGACATCACAGGAGACCGAAGAGCTGGCAGCTACCTCGGACAAAGAATTAGTCTAGCCATTCAAAGGGGTAACGCTGCCAGTATCTTCGGATCCTTGGCTAAAGGGACTCCTTTTAATAATATATTTTAGTTAATAATTTTATTTTTTAAGGTTTTTAGTTTTAGTTTTATTGTTCTAGTATTTATATATAGAGTAATTATGTAATTAGATAGAGACTTATTTGTGTACTTATTAATTAAATAAATAAATAAATAAATATTTCCGACACTCACACCAATTAGCCTAGCCCCAAAGTAAGCACTATAAGGCTTGTGTTATGGGATGCTAGGGTAGCGGATAGAATACATATACTGTACATATATAAGCATATTTATATAAATACATATTGAACATCCATGACTGGAGTACAAATGCTCGTATTCATCACACAAACATCTGCCCCCACCGGGATTCGAACCCGGGACCTCTCGAGTAGGCGACAGCCATGAAACCTGGCGTACAAACCACTCGGCCACGGAGGTCGTCAAATTAAATTTACAGATATACATAAAATTATTATTTAAAATCTTATAGCGATCTAATTATAACCGTGTACACGTGTAACGTTTTATTCATTTACATTATACCTATCATGTTTTTTATCGGGATGCTCATGCCACAGGGACTAGTCGTGTAACAACAAAGAGTGGATGGTTGGTCGGAACGACTGAACTCATTTAATTTGCCCAGGGTAGAAAGTAGGTACTGCCTATATATATTATTTAGTTTTATTATATAGGTATATAGTTTTGTTATATATATATATATATATATATATATATATATATTATATAATTTTGTTATATTATATAGGCAGTATATGTATAGTATATATATATAGGCACGGTATATTACAAAGTGTCTGATTATATTACAGACAAAAATGCTTGGGTTGAACTGTTCCAATCATTCCAACAGGTTTTCTATATTAAATAAATCATAATTGTATTGACGTTGTAACAACATAATGATTTGTAAATGTTGTTACATTAGACTTAATGTTGTGGAGTTTTTTTCGCTCGTTTTTATCCGCAGCTAAAAAATATGTCCATAACGAGTGGTAGGGAAAAAAATTTTTGGACTGTTCAAACGAGTTGTACTATACATCCAATTTGAATAAAGATATATTGATTTCTGATTTCTGATTTATACAAAGTAGAGCTCCGCCGACCTTCTGTAGTTGTAGAAGATAGAGGCTCCATAAGAAGAAGAAAACTAGGGCCAATAATAATCGATTACAGTTGTTTAAAAAAAGTGAGTTAAACCCAAATATGCTAAAGAAAATATAACTAGAAAAAATTCCACGCGGACCAGGCAGCAGACGGGACTCGAACCCGCACCCTTCGCTATCTGGGCGAATGCATCCCACCTACTTGTGGGTTACCTACAATGCGAAGAAATGGCGCTGCCTTGCAGCTTAAGAATGGCTAGAAGAATTTCGACGAGGCCATCAGGGCCAGGGATAGCGAAGGGTGCGGGTTCGAGTCCCGTCTACTGTCTGGTCCGCGTGGAATTTTTATTTATATATTCGTTAGATTTAAACATCATGCAGTTACATGCTTAAAAATTATACCCAAATATGTTGTTCAATTCATCTCAATTCTCAAAATAAATATTTCATTTTTAAATAACTCAATATTGAAGCTTAACAAATGAATCAATTTGAAGGAAAAAAATAATGACTCGAAATAAGTAAGTAGGACTTTTTGTGGCCGTCAATCATAGTGAGGTTGTATGCTCTAAGCGTTAATGTGTGGACGTATCTTCTATTGTCAATCGCCTCGTCACCAGTAGGTATAGCACCGAAAACTCGCATGTAACACGAGTACAGTTACGTGTGATGGACAAAATCAATTTATAAAGTCGATGTCCTGCGTCTGGTGGCCAGAGTCGTGGGCACAGCGCGCCGTCGCGCCATTCAAAACATCGCCACCGATGCGACAATACGACTACCGAAATATATTTTTTTGAAAAATTCGATTTCGGCACCAGACGCCGACGCCCCATTGCGATTCAAGCCGCGCGCGCGCCTAGGCCGTCCCGTCCGCCGCCGAGCCACTGACACATTTCTGTTTGTGCGCGCGCCATTCGAATTTAGATTAATTATTTTTTCGAAACCGTGATTTCGTATCGTTGTGCCAGTACCACGTGTATGGAAACTGTGTTCGAACTGTAAACAATTGTCTGGACTAACCGAGTTCAAGGTAAGCAATCCTTAAATGGTTTTCTAATACTGTTATGTTTGATTTATGGATGTTTGTGATTTTTTGTTATTGTGAACCGAAATGGCATTGTCATTTTATTATTTTTCTATGTAACCTTTACTGCTAGAATTTTATATCTAACCTTTTTTTACCTTAAAGATAATCAACTCAGTCCATTCGATCTCAGGCTGAAATGGAGCTAACATCCATCGCTTTTCAGTTTGCCTTTCAGCTCGCAGCCTAAAATCCGCTAAGCTCTCGGGAGCATAGTGAATTATGCATTTTTCCCGATAGCGGAGGATATTAGTTCAATGCTAAACTGATGCAGGGCTAAGTAGAGTTTTGCCTTATGATAAAAATGACACAAAACTATATCGAACTTAATTACAATCAGGCGCATATTATATACAGGAACAATGAACCTAAAAATAAAAACCTTAATAATATAATATAATAACTAAAATATATTATTAAAAGGAGTCCCTTTAGACAAGGTTCCGAAGATACTGACAACGTTCCCCCTTTGAATAGCTAATCAGGCGAATTACTTTTATTAAATAACTTTACCGGTATCATAACAGGATTTATTTTCAGTTTATTGTCTATTAGTGTATTGACTTTCGCACTTTATGCTGGGACTCCAGTATGTAGCGCGTTGAAGTTTTTTGTACTGCGTTAAGATTGAACATACGGTCTGCGCGAATGCAGATCTTCTAAAGTACCTATCTCAATCTACTTATTCTCTTTACATTATTTATTTTTCATTAAAAATTTGAAATATAATTCTATACATTGTTATTTCGAAAAAAAAAACAAAAAGGATATCTGTTTAAAAAGCACGGATTTTATTTAAATTTATTCCGCGCGCCTTTAAATATCACGTAGCTTTTTAAAATAGTTCATTTCATTGTCTCCGAGATGTTTTGTCACGATTGGTCATTATAAGCGCGAGTCAATCCCAGCACAGCACAAGCTCTGTTAACACGACAAACAAAAGGAGCAGGAGTCTCACATTGACAAACAAATACAAACCGGTAACATTAACAGCGCAGCTAGCTGCGTATCTGTAAGGCGGAGGCTGACATTTCGTTTTATAATAAAAAGATGACAAACCGAAGCGAAAGCTGGGGATGTGTTGCCCATGTGGACTGAGAATTAAACGGTTTAATAGATACCTTATTATTATGATCTCCGCCATAACAAGGAGCCACATAATGAAGGCACTCCGCCTCGCAAATTAGTGGTTTTAAAGCACTTTTATGACCTGTCATAATTTATGGTAAGTAAGGCTTGCTGCATGTGAGCGATTACTCTGCACTACCTTTCGTCACTGGTCCGCTTGTGGTAATATTGATTACTGTTTGCAGAAAAGTGAAAAATTATTAAGACTACAGTGACCAGGTGAACTTAATAATATATTTTCCTAATAAAAATTATAGAAAGTTTTCGGTTACTTGTTTAGAAACTGATTTCATAATCAGTTCTGCGTTTACATAGATAGATAGATTTACCGGCATTTTTATTAGAGAGAAAATTTACGTTTGCCCTTTGATTTTTCACATGGATGAAATCTTGTCTGATTTTGCACATATGGATGAAATCTTGTCGGATTTTTTACATGGATGAAACCATGTCGGATTTTTTACATGGATGATGTAAAAAATCCGACATGGTTTCATTAATGTAAAAAATCCGACAAAGTTTCATCCATGTGAAAAATCCGACAAGATTTCATCCATATGTGCAAAATCAGACAAGATTTCATCCATGTGTGCAAAATCAGACAAGATTTCATCCATGTGAACCTTGTCTGATTTTTCACAAGAAAGAAAAGCTTCTCGGAAAACTATTAGTATTTTTATGAACATTTTATTTAAGTACTAGCTTCCTCCTGAGACTTCATCTACATTAACTTGTTTTTTTTGAGAATCCCACAGGAATCTAGGTAGTCGAATTATGAAAATAGCTCGATAATAAATTAAAATGTTGCTGCGATTTGTCTGAACATAGCAACTATCGCGTTTTTTATTTTAATATTTAAGCAGATTTTGTTCTGAACAACATTCATTTTAAACGTTGTGAATAATAATAAGGTGCGATAGTTGTTTGACTAGTACAAAGCTCTCATTTTTTGACCTGATATATTTTATTTTTCTGTTCCCATAGTAAGTTTTAAGAATGGTTTAAAAGAAAACGGCACTGTGATTATGCCGAGTTCAACACTTCTAGTCGTCCTTTTAAACGAGTTCCAATAAAAACTCTTCCGGCAGATTCATCTGGAATACCTACTTTAAAAAAGTTTTTACTCGCACGCGGTCTCATTGCTTAAATTTCTTTGTTGTCGTTGTGGACGCTACATTTGTCACCAAACACAGAAGGACACAACATTAATAAATTCGTTAAATAACTTAATTTTTCTTGCGTGCTCGCTGTTAGTAAAAGCATTCCTGTTGACATTTACATAAAAAAATATAAGCAGTAGACTTATTTAGCATCGCAACCAGTAAACAATTATCGATGGGCAGAAAACTGAAAGTAATTATTTTCCCATAGCAACTTTTATGCCCACACTAAAATTCACTTACTTATATGTTTTTACGCAATTAAACTTTACCCGCCTTAACTAAACGCGGACTTAAGTTAGTCATGGTTTACACATAATGCTGTCTCTGTTTTTTTAGAAAACAAAAGAGACAATATCTGTTTGAACTTTGAAACCTCAACGTTTTTTAACAAGGCGGCGGTACAAGTTTGTCCTAACTATTTAAATCTTTGGTCTGTATCCGTAGCGCACCATGATATTTGCAAGCCTTTCCCCATTCAGCGCGTTATTTAGGGGTCGATAATACCGAATGCGTTATTGGGATATCTGTAAGATTACTGTAATAATAACGACGTAATAGAAGTAGGACGAATTATCTTAACAACGCATCTGACATTATCGACCAATCAGAAATCAAAAAAACTTTTTGAGTGCTGATTGGTCGATAATTTCTTTATTGAAATTGGATGCACAATATAGCGGGGAAATGCCGCTAGCATTCATTTTATCCTAACATAGTTTTAAGTTCTGTCTAGTTTTAGTTTAATATTAATATGTAAATATTTTTTTGAAGTGAAAACTTCTTTAGCGGCGTTGTACACTTTTTTTTGTATGGGTAAAAATGTTAAACTCGCGTCAGGTTAAACACGTGGGCTGATCGCATCATGACACACAATAAAATTGGAAAGGTTAGGTTATCGTATTATAATAATAAGTCTCTATCTAGGACGTCCAAGTGGCAACTTTATTGCGAAGAAAATGCATTTTTTTTACAATAGGTGTCGGTAAGTGCGCTTGAATGTGATTCATGTAAGTTGATTTCTTTACAATAGATGTCGCTACATGCGCTTAAACGTGATTCATGTAAGTTGATTTTTCTGAGAAATAAACTTTTGTAATGTAATATAAATTGTCATGTTTGTGTACGATAGCGCAATAAATAAATATTGTATTCTACCACACACATGATAGTACTTTTATAATGATAATTAAAGCAATTCGTGCAATATTATTCCCTAACCATTTCAAAATATCAAAAATGCACAACGTTAATATTCAAGTTTTCACTTCTGCCGGCACCCTCGGAGTGCAACCCGTTGTTTCAACGTTTTTTAACAAGGCGACGGTACAAGTTTGTCCCAACGATTTAAATCTTCGGTCTGTCTTCGTAGCGCACCATGATATTTGCAAGCCTTTCCCCCTTCAGCGCGTTATTTAGGGGTCGATAATACCGAATGCGTTATTGGGATATCTTAATATTACTGTAATAATAACGACGTAATAGAAGTAGGAAGAATTATCTTAACAACACATCTGACAGTATCGACCAATCAGAAATCATAAAAACTTTTTGAGTTCTGATTGGTCGATAATTTCTTTATTGAAATTGGATGCACAATATAGCGGGGAAATGCCGCTAGCATTCTTTTCAACCTAACATAGTTTTAAGTTCTGTACAGTTTTTTTTCTTTATTTTTTTTCCTAATTGGCTTCGCACGGCTTGTGCATTTAGCCAATGTCAAGTGTTAAAATGTTTACAAATTCTATAGCACTCGTGGTCAAAGTAATAAATCAAGTCCAAGTAAGGGGCAGTCAAGTCAATCCCCCTTCCCGTATGTTTCAGTAAATGTGTGGGGATTTACTGGAACCTCCCCGTAGACTTCTGGAGGGAACGTCGAAAGACACTTTCCGCTATTCTGTTTCACTTGCCAACACTTGTGCATGTTCCCGAATACTTAGTGGTTAATAATCCACCATTATTAGACACTAACATCCGCCTCAACACAATTTTTAACAAGAAAAACAAAACTGCTAAAGAGACGCTTCCCGATCCCTTCAAAAAGTTCTGTCTAGTTTTAGTTTAATATTAATATGTATTTTTTTTTCTTCTTGGGTAATAATAAGACTTCAAAAGTATAGATTTTATAAATTCCAAAAGACTTGCATTCAGTATTCGAGTATATTTGCTCATACAACTCTTTTGTGTCGTCTATATTTTTTCTCTACCACCAGTTAAGGATTTTTTTTAGCTGTGGAGAAAAAGTGTCGACAATCATAACACACCTATGGGGGAAGGCTATTTTCAGCGACACTCAACTGTTAAACTCCGTCCATTAGGTTGACAGTCAATTTCGACAAATTTTTATATCATATCGTGTTTTGGTGAATCGCCTGGCGGCTGAACATTAAAAGCTTTCTTGACGAACAGACATACACACACACACTGGCAGAGTTTCTTAAAATATGGATTAGTATGATTGCGCAGTCTAGCATTAAGTTATGGACAATAATATTTTGTTTATGATTAAGAATACGTTTTTTTGTTTGCTTTTTTTATAACCAGTCATTATTGTAAAAGGTCGAATTACTTAAACACGATTTAAATCTCTACAGTCTCTACTTAAACATTATAATAAGTTGCTGAAATATATATAGATCGAGGCGGTAGACAAGTATT